TTTATGGATGTAAATGCAAAAGGATTGAGGGGTATGCATTTAAATTTCCCTATAAAATTTTGCAAATAGAAAACCAACTCACCCAGGGCGACCAAAATCTAAACCACAGGGTACAACCTGCACATCTCTCCTCTTAAGAGCATAGTCTATCACAGCCTCATTCTGCAAATTTAAAGGAAGGGATATTAGAACAATAAAACTAGCAATAAAAAGCTCAATTAACTTATAAATTATTAAGAGATAACAACCTCGTCAACCATCATGGAGCAGGTTGAGTATACTATATATCCTCCAGATTTTGAATTAGCATCAACCAAATCAATTGCAGCTAGAATCAGTTGCTGCGGAAGATATCAACACAAATCACAAATAAAATCTCAAAAATAAAATAAAAAACTCATCAAACAGAACCAAACAGCAAATTCAGCAATTACATAAGCATTCAGGACTTGGGTGTAAATGGCAAATGATATGGTGAATGTTGTAAAGTCTAGAATGAATTGCGCTTTTGAAGGTCAAGCTTGTTTTAGTACTAGCTTGCCGACAAAAGCCGCAATGTGATTGCAATGAATGAATGTCAATTTAAATGAAGGTTGTCGAAGAAATAAAAAAAGGGGAAAGCATATAAGCACAAGACTACAGATAAAGTCATGAACATTTTTTTCCTATTTTCACCAAGGTATATTTACATAATCTAAAGTTTGATAAAAGTATTATAATAAAAAGATAATGTTTTCAACTAGCATGTATTCAAAGTTTAGAATTATACCTTCTGCAGAAAAGCACATTTTCGAACATCTTCAATGGATTTGGAGGTTTTGACAGATTGTTCATTCCATATGATCTTCAAAAAATTGTAGAAGAATCAATGTATTTGTAAGTAAAAAAAACAAAAGAAAAAAGAAATAGTCCTTTTTGGAGCTAATGCCATTAAAAAAAAAACTGACTTACCCCAGTACCACTGCATGGAGCATCCAACAATACCCTATCAACAGATTTGAATCCCAAGATTCTGGGCAGCTAAATCAAAACAAAACGTTAGACATAACATTGCAATAATATGATGTTTAGAAGATAAAACTAACAATAAATTTTCTTATCATACTGATTTTATCTGATTATAAGTTCGTAATTATTTTAGACTGTCTTTATTCAACAGATATTCTCTTAATTAAGGATATTTTACCTATAAGTAATCTACCTCTTGTATTTGCTTAATCATAAGCATCAATTCTATATACCAAGTTGTTTCAAATGCTTTAACGGTACTCAAAAAATTCTTTAAAAAAATTTATTTTAGAATTGCAGTGAAAAAATGAGGTCTGTAATGACCTCCCTTAGTACAGACAACAGAACTAACCTCTTTTCCATCATAGTTGCATAAAACAGTATTTGTCACACCCATGCGATGGATATTAGCTCTTAAAGACTTGAGCCGCTTTTCCTTGAATTCATTTGCATAAATTATTCCTGAAAATAATAAAAACTTTGATTGTAAACTAAAGGAAATAATTTTCATAACCAGGAGAATATAAACAAGCAAACTCAAAGATAAAAGTTTTATCAATCAGATGCAAATCCGACACCACTTAGTGGGACAAAGGCTTGTTGTTGTTGTTGTTGTATTATTCAGTTGATGCAAATGTTATCTTAATATTATATTTTTTGTGTGTGGACAAAACGTTATTTGGTGTCTTCATAATGCTATCAAGGTTCACAATCCTAACAGTACTTTGCTTGGCTTTGTTGGTAAGCATTTGTTTTACTTGCTTATTTTCACCCATGTAGATTAATAATACCTTGATGACTTTTAGATGGAGCCATGGAGGTCATTGACTTTGTCATTCAAAAAGACAAATTTTCCCTCATTCATTTTTTCTTTAACATTATAATAAATTTATGACATCTTATAAAGATATTATTACTTTAAATGTATGAAAAGTTTATGAACACTATTCATTTGATATAATTTCTAAAAAATGGTGGAATAAATTCTAAAAAATAATTTTGCCCAATTGATAAAATAATTTGGGTAAGATGTCCCATAAATAGCTCACAAAATAGTCGTTATAGTAAGAACGTATATTGAAAGCTAACATAAACATTTTCAAAAATAAAGTAAATTATATTAATTTTTTAAATTCTTAGTAGTTTGTCAAATTAATTAATTATAATTATTATAGATAAAGGCACATTGTTAAAAATATAAGTGTATTTTGTTTTTTTTTTATCTGCTTTCAAATGGTACTTCCCAGCAACAACTACAAAATTGCAGCCAGAAAGTAAACTCGCGCCACCTTCTAAAGTAACTTCTGGTATGGTAAGCGATGTCGAATCATCCAAACTTCTATCTGTTTTTGGCTAACCAGCTTTTCTTTTGTAGAAAATGTAGTAAAGCTGAATCAAATGGGTCCTAAGAATATATTTATGCAAAATAGGGCTACGGTAAATCTTTTAAAGGCCCTATTATGAACTTAAGGTTTGCTATCAATGGTAGTTACGGAGTTGATGATGGAAATTTAAAGGAGCTCCAAAGGTGGTGGCAATGACAAAGAAAGGTTTTATTGATGGACTTTCAGATGTAGATGTCCAAGTTATAACCGAGCAATGGTGGCTATTTGTGTATAGAAGTTGTTGTGAACAACAAAGCTGGCAAAGAGTGACTTGTATTAATTGAAATGAATAGTTAACTTAAGCAGTTATAATTAAGTAATGTTTTTTGAAGTTTGACTACGCAAAATTTAATTCATATACATATATATATTTGAGTTTAACTTCAAACTTAATAATAAACTTTATGGTTGTTAAAGTGTGCGCCAAGTTTCTCCTCTAGGAGTATAGTACGCCCATGTAGTATGATTTCCTTTACTCTGTTTCTATAATTTTCCCTTCTAACATTTCATGATTCTTTCATAAAACTCGGAATATAGTAGTAAGGAATGGATGCAAGTGTTACTCCAGGTGCAATGTATGCATGTTTTCAGCTAGGGGAGTAAGATAACTTTGATCTCAATTTTATTTTTATTTTTTGTGTGGATATAGGTGGTACTGACGGTTTGTTTGTACAGAAGACCCTTGACATGGGGTTTATTTTTTAAGTTTGAGGTAAAGCCAAGCAATGCATATTTTTTGGGTATGTAGATGGATTGAAAATATAACATATAACCATGAAGTGTCATGTCATAGTTTTCTCTACTATGTTATGTCCCCGTATCGTGTCGTGTCGTGTCCGTGCTTCACAGATGAAAAGAATGTAGACAAAGACATGCCATAAATAAAGAACTGGAAAACTTGCAAAAGACTTTAATTTCAAACATATAAGAGAGAATAACAATCATCTTAGTTTTGCTAGAAGTTACATACCAATATTCTTCATGAGAGCAGCAATGAATGTTGTCTTTCCACCTGGTGCGGCACTAAAAAATAAAAAAGCATATAGTATTAGTAAAATTCAAACACTCTGAGTTGCACTTCTCCACCATAGAAATATAAACACATACATGTCATGTATCACATGATTTAATACCAAACTTTAGTGCAGAAAAAGAACAGCATTTCAAGAGAGGCAGTGCCCATTACTAAACTATTCAAAATCATGATTCATCAGGTTGAGCTTAGGTTTTGAATAACCTCACCCAAGCCATCCACAATTATAATGATAGGTAAAAATTGATGATAAAAACAATAACAATAGTAGTTTAGTTCATTGCCATCTAGTATGAAAAATACAACTAGATTACTAAGTCTCGAAATAGGTATAAACTATGATAATCTCAAAAATAATGTGTCATACTATTTCATCAGAAAAAAATAATCCAAGAAGTTTTGAATTTAAGGCAATTATTCAAATAAGTGGCGAAGAATGAATGGAATACTCCTTCCATGTACTACAAACACAATTTTATCAATCATATTTTTCAATTGAATTTCTTAACATAGCATGAATTAGAGAAATTAAATGCTAACATGTATTAAGGTGGATTTAAAAAAAAAAAGAAAAGGGAAAAAATGGCACTCTGAGTTCAACAACCGCATAAAGACTTAACACAATATACACGAATAAGAATTATCACTATCAAATAAAATATGAAAGTATTTTACACATTGCATTACATTTATGCATAATGTACATTTGAGCATTCATGAGACAATAATGAATAAAAAAGTGTAGAATATAGAATCTTACGCCATGTCAACAATTCGCTCCCTCTCTTGAGGAGCAAGGGCCATAACAGGAAGAAATGAACTTGCACCTTGTCTCTGGAAGTATTACAAAAATCTATATAAATTTTGCATAAAAAAACCAGAATATTATAGCTAATTGAAATAATAATTTCAAAATACTCTACAAACCAACATACCATGTAGTGGCCGGCCATAATCTCAGGTGTTGCACCAATAGGCACTTGTGAATCATAAACAACTAAACCAACCTGTCATAATTGCGGAAGACAAATTAAATTCACAAAAAGAGGAAAAAATAATCACAACACTGCAGTACAAAACTAGTTACCTTGGACCACTTCCCTATTGCATCAAGGTTTACTCCCCTATTGAGAAGAACAGCCGCAAGATCCCTTCTACGAGTCTATAATGCAAAAACAAAGTAAATATATATAACAAAAAACGAAGAAAAATGATGACATCATGGTTTATGTCACATACGCCAGGATTATAGTAAAAAAAACTAAAAAACATTGATGTTAGGTTAAATTACAATATAAAGAATAGAGCAATCCCAATGCACCTTCAATGTGTTTGCACGCAGTGTTT